ATTTCCCCCCGGATGGGGATTTGAATCCCCAAAAGCCGGACATGTCCGGGAAAATCCGGACGTATGGTAACCCTAGGTAACTAGTGAGTCCCAGTAGTTAATTGTATGAAGCTGGGAGTGCCGGCATCTAATTTGTTTAAACCTTTTTTCCCACTCAGCATGTGAAACATTCCTAGCTGTGAAAAAGTGGAATGTGGGAATGCATTTCTATTAAGCATGTTTTTTCACCCTGAACAGCCCTGCTTGCGGGTAGAGAAAAACATTTCTTTTGTATACAATAACATCACTGAAACAATACCCCCCTCAGTAAAAAATTAAGCTATTTTTCCAGATTTGGAAACTAGTAGTAGCAGTCTCATTTTATCGATTGCCAGTCATGCCTCATATTTTCCTGGTTGAATGTTGGTAATTTTAGAAACAAACATGCCTAATGTTTCTAATTAACAAAAAACATACAATGTCTTTGACATCGTTAGTTGTTAAGGTGTTAAAATACTGGAATTGTGTTTCTATCAGGGTTCCTTACCTAGTTATTTGTGGAATTCCCCTGAACTGTTTGCAATATGAGCAGTGCATTCTCAGAGAGTAGTGCCCAAACCTGAAAAACAACTTTTTTGAGCCTTGCATAAAGTCAGCCCTGGATAATCAATATTTGAGTTTGAATGACCTAAGTATTAAGGCAGCAGGCTGTGCTACGTTTGCAGATAGTGAGCTGGGCTGTCCTACCATGCTGTGCTGGGGTGTGTGTATAGATTCTGGGCTGGACTATTTATAGTCAGTTTGCTATATGTTGTGTGTGTATGCATAGATACTATGCTGGGCTGACCAGATGCCATGCTGGGTGTATATGTATTTGTGTATATTGTGCTAGGCTGGATTGCGTGTGTGTAGATTCTGCATTAGGCTGTTTACATATAATATTCACTCTGCATGTAGATGCTTTGCTGGTTATGTGTAGATACTGCATCAGGATGGGCTCTATGCATTTGTGTGTATGTACGTATCCTGCAGGACTCTGCATGTTTGTAGATACACTGCAGGACTGCATATGTGTGTGTACAGAAGGTCTGCAGGGCTGGTCTGGGTTGTGTGTGTGTGTATCTTATGTTCTGTGCAGAGATGACTGGCTTAGCTAGGCCGGGGTGAGTGTGGATGGCCTGCAGAACTGGGCTGCGGTGTGTGTATCTTATGTTCTGTGTGTGTATAGATTTAGTCCTGAAGGCATTTGGCGCCAAAAAATTAAACATTTTGCACCAAAATAATAAAAATTCTGCACACAATATTTTAAAATTTTGCAAAATTCTGCAAATTGTATTTGTCAAATAAATGTGAAGGTTCCAGCATGGCACTGGGGAGCACAGGCCACTAGCTGCAAAGAGGTGGGAGATCCCTGTGCTGCTCCCCCCCGGGACACAGACTCAGCAGTGAGGCAGCACCCAACTCTGACATAACGCAAGGACTGGGCCTGCCCCAGAAACATCCAAAGGCCCTGCCCCTCTGTGCCAGGTGCACTAGGTGTGGATAGGCAGGCTCAGCCCAGCAAGATCCAAGTGTGAAGGGGCTTCGTGTGGGGGGATACAGGTGTGGGTTGAGATGGTTCTGTGTGGGGCAATCTGGGTGCGGGCGGCTCAGTGGGGGATCCGGGTGCGGGGGGATCTGGATACACAGGGGCTTGTTGGGGGGTTCTGGGTGCAACAATAATGGTACTCTGCAGGGGGGGTCCAGATGAAGGTGCCTGGGGCTCAGCAGGATGGGCCTGGGTGTGGGGGGCTCAGTCAGGGGTCCAGATGCTGGGGGAGCAGGGCTTAGTGGGAGGGGGGATCCAGGTGCAGCTGGGTGGGGCTCGGCGGGGTGGTGATCCATGTGTGGGTGGCTCATTGGGGTAGTCCAGGTGCAGTGGGAGTGGGGCTCATCGAGGGGGGGGGTTCTGAGTGTGTGGGGGAGTGAGGCTCAGCAGGAGAGTCTGGGTATGAGGGAGTCTGGATGTATGAGGGTTGGGCAGATGGGGGAGCAGCTCCCTGTACTGAGATCTTTCCCCCTGCAGCTGAGGAGTGATGGTTGCAGGGAGTGTGTCAGGGGGTCAGAAAGAGTTTGCAGAGCTTCCTGCAGCTGGGGGAGAAATCTGAGGTGTGTCTGACCGGTCCCAGATGCCGTGCAAGGGAAGAGGAAGTCCCATGCTCCCCAGCCCAGCTGGGACTAGCAGCTGAGCCTAGCACAGAGTAGGAGCCACCCTCCAGGTCTTCCCCAGTCCCACCTCCTGCCCCACAGTGATTTACCTCTCTGCCCGCTGCCCTGGGCACCCAAAACATACTGCTGGGGAGGGTCGCATGACCGCTCTTGTGGCTTCCCTTTGCTTCCCTGTCAGAAAGTCATTTTTCTGCTGGGAAGCAAAGAAATCTGCGGGGGACATAAATTCTGCACATGCACAGTGGCGCAGATTTCCCCCAGGAGTAATAGATGCAGGGTGGGCTGAGTGTGTTGATAACACTGATTTGTGGTTGCATTCGATTTCCTGGTGTTGTTAACCAAATTAAAGCGGGTACAGGTTTGCTCTTCATTCACAAGAAGAAGAAGTTTGGCTGGGCAGGATGCTGGGGCCAAGCTCTCCCTTGGGCTCTATGAGACCCTGCCCTGTGGGGCGTGTATGTGTGCTTGAGAGCTGGGCTGTATGGAATGCTGCTGTGGGGAGTGTTGTCAAAGAGGTGAGCTCTCCCCTGGCCTGTCCGGACCCTGCTCGGAGGAGTTTGGGGGGTGGCTATTCCAGAGAGCCGGGCTCTCTCTGGGCTGTATGGGACTCTGCCGAGGGGGGCACTGTCAAAGAGCTTAGCTCTCCCCGGACTCTGTCTGGGGGATGGGGACTAGGCCAGAGAGAGGCCTACCCCAGGCTGTATGGTACCATGCTCAGGGGAATGATGCCGAGATCCGGGCTCTCCCTGGGTTGTATGGGACCCTGCCTGGGAATGGGGCAGAGGGCGGCTATGCCGGGCTCTCCCTGGGCTGTATGGGACCCTTCCTGGGGGAACGATGCCAGAGAGCTGGGCTCTCCCAGGGCTGTACGGGACCCTGCCCGGTGGTGGGGGCAATGACAGGGAACGGGGCTCTCTCTGGAGTTGTATGGGGCCCTACCCAAGGGGCAGTGCCAGAGATCAGGGCTGTACGGGGCCCCGCCCGGTGGTGGGGGCAATGACAGGGAACAAGGCTCTCTCTGGGGTTGTATGGGGCCCTACCTGGGGGGCAGTGCCAGAGATCAAGGCTGTACGGGGCCCTGCCCAGTGGTGGTGGTAATGACAGGGAACGGGGCGCTCTCTGGGGTTGTGTGGGACCCTACCTGGGGGGCAGTGCCAGAGATCAGGGCTGTATGGGGCTCTGCCTGGTGGTGGGGGTAATGACGGGGCTCTCTCTGGAGTTGTATGGGGCTCTGCCCAGTGGTGGGGGGAGTGACAGGGAATGTGGCTCTCTCTAG